TGTTGTATAACGGCAGGAGTTTTTACTTGATTGCAGACAGTATTGATGGGAAGATCAGCGAGACCAAGTTTTTCGAACCAATCTAACCCCAGAAGGTTGTGAGGAGACTTGTTGATATAGCATGTTCCATTGAAGGTTGTATCTCTGAACGAAACACAGCAATCAAGTTTACCACGAAGACGAAGGTGACCCCCACAGGCACTGACAACTATCTGCGATGATGGTTTGATGCGTGGTTGACCCAAGGTTCGCCAAGTCTCTTCTGACAGAATAGTGATATCTGATGCGGTATCCAACTGCATTCGAACCAGCTGACCATTGATCGAGAGGGTCAGAAATTTGCGTCGAGTAGAAGCATCGGTGTGAAAGGCTGCTGCTAAACTCCTAGATGCAGCAACCGGCTTTTTGGAATAACGACGCTGCGACTGTGAATTTCGCCGGCCAGTGAATCGGGTTGATTGGCAAAAACCGCTTTTATGACCAATTTCCTGACAGCGATTGCACACATGCTGCTTGAATGGACAAAATTTCACATAATGCCAGTCTCCACAGTGCCAACATGGTGAGGGGGGCTTCTTATGCGTTGATTTTGAGTGATTAGAAACAGAACTGGCATTCGAACGACCAAAGCTTTTCGATCTAGAAGATTTGTTCTGCTGCTGAACAATGTGAACTTCGGAACCACCCTGGCTCCCAGACTGAACCAAAGTGGTGTCACACTGTAAGTTGGTGATGCGTTGATACTCATCAGCGATAGCATCGAGTGTCAGTGTTGGGTCTTGTTCGAGGCGGTTAAGCAATCGAGTTCTGATGTCGGAGAATTCGGGTGATTGTAGACTGCATATGAATATGAGTGATTTGAATTGGTCATCAGTAAGGGATCTGTGTTTGAACCGTTCACACTCGCGGTTGACAATACCAACATGAGTCAAGAAGTCATCGGACTCATTCATGACTAGTTTTAAACAACGATAACGTGTATTGAAAATAGAATGCTGATCCCCAAAAAGTTTGCTGAGGGACTGAACCGTAGCATCGAATGATCGGTCACGTGGGTTCTGCGGTAGGATGAAGTTGCGATACTTGTCCAGTTCTGACGGACCAAGTTTTCGAAGGAGAAGACGCACCTTCCAGGAATCATCTTTGTCAGCAAAATCAACTTTGAAAAGATCTTCATAACGCATGAACCAAGTATCAAATGTAATATTGGCGTCAGGATCATACAGAAACTCAGAAATACTACTGGTCATACCATCAACTGACTGAGGAATTGTTGGTGTAGATGAGACTTGAGAAGAGATGTGCGTCTGAGTAAGCATCTCCATCAGCTTCAGCTGCTGTGCAAACAATTTTTCTAATGTAGCTGGATCCATAATTAGTCACCAACCCGTCGCCAAATTTGTTGTAAACGCGGCTACGTAAATCTTCAGTCCTAACGGCGTCCAATTCAAATATCACAATACGACCCAAAGGCTTTCCCAAATCTCCTAGAAATCAGAACGTAACGCCGTGGCAGGAAGATGTTTATTGGGTCGTAAACAGAAGAAGTAGGCAGGGGAAACGGAATTATTAAGTCTTCCAGATAGCGCGTATTTATACACTAAGGTCGACTGAGAAAAAGCATCAACGTCCGTGACATTGACAATTTAGGAAGACCAATAGAAAAGGACAATTGAATGACATTGACCGTCCAGATGACCAATAAGAGGTAACATTGAAGTATTTGACCCTGACGGTAAGAACGATCAAAATTTCGGCCAATAGAATTCGACCAATAGGATTGCAGTTCTAAAAATAGTATTCTTAGGATATTTGGTGAATATCCTAACATAAACAGAATGAAGGACTTCGTAGACTCCCAACTTCGAGATCAACAGGCCGGATTTCGGAAGGATCGATCGTGTACTGACCAAATTGCTACATTACGGATCATTGTGGAACAATCAATTGAATGGAACTCACCACTCTACATCAACTTCATCGACTACGAGAAAGCATTCGATAGCGTGGACAGGAAAACACTGTGGAGGCTTCTTCGACACTACGGGGTGCCTGAGAAAATAGTCAACATCATACGGAACTCTTATGATGGATTCAACTGCAAAATCGTGCACGGAGGACAGCTAACCGACTCTTTCGAGGTAAAGACCGGTGTCAGGCAAGGTTGCTTACTTTCACCCTTTCTCTTTCTCCTGGTGATCGACTGGATTATGAAAACGTCAACAGCTGGAGGGAAGCACGGTATCAACTGGACAGTTAGGACGCAGCTGGACGATCTGGACTTCGCAGATGATCTGGCTCTTCTATCGCACACTCAACAACAAATGCAAGAGAAGACGACCAGTGTAGCAGCAGCCTCTGCAGCAGTAGGTCTCAACATACATAAAGGAAAGAGCAAAATTCTCCGATGCAACACAACATGCACCAATCAAATCACTCTTGATGGAGATGCCTTGGAGGACATTAACACCTTTACATATCTGGGCAGCATCATCGACAATCAAGGTGGATCGGATGCAGATGTGAGGGCACGGATTGGCAAAGCAAGGGCTGCATTTCTACAGTTGAAAAATATCTGGAACTCCAAACAGATATCAATCAACACCAAAATAAGGATTTTCAATACAAATGTCAAGACAGTTCTACTGTATGGAGCGGAAACATGGAGAACCACCAAAGCCATCATCCAGAGGATACAAGTGTTTATTAACAGCTGTCTACGTAAAATACTTCGTATTCGTTGGCCAGACACCATCAGCAACAACGAACTGTGGGAGAGAACAAGTCAGATTCCAGTGGAAGAGGAAATCAGGAAGAAGCGGTGGAAGTGGATAGGACACACTCTACGAAAAGCACCTAACTGCGTCACGAGACAAGCCCTCACATGGAACCCTCAAGGCAAAAGGAAAAGAGGAAGGCCAAAGAATACATTACGCCGTGAAATAGAGAAAGATATGAGAGTAATGAACAAACATTGGACAGAACTGGAGGAAGAAGCCCAGGACAGAGTTGGTTGGAGAAAACTGGTGAGCGGCCTATGCTCCATTTGGGGTAACAGGCGAAAGTAAGTAAGTAAGTAAGAAATAGAAGCGACTAGAAAAAGTCATGTGAGAGAAGACAAAGAATCGAGATATCTGCGCTTTAGCTAATGATTTTGATCTATGTCATTCAAAGTTTCCAGCGATCGGCTACTGTTGTTTCGTGAACCTCAATCAAGTAGTGTAGTCAATACCTACTACACTTGGCTCAGTCCAGAATGTCAGTGACTTCATGGATTGATGTCATGTTACGGTTTCGCTGGCCACTAGCTTTTCCAGCCTACAACAACGGTATTTATTGATCGTTGCGGTAGTCAGTGGTCGAGCATTCATAACACATATTCCAACCACCTCACCACTACGATTTTGAGCCTGAGTGCCTGAGTGAATTGACAATTGCATATTTGTGCCAATGTGGTATGGCAACTTGAACTGGTGTATGTACGTACGAAGTTCTGCGTTGTAACTGACTGACTGACAACCAATTCACCTGATGAAGTGTGTACAATATACTGTCTAGGCAAACGTAATTTATTGAATGTATTATTTACCAAAACTAAACTGCATTAATATATTGTGGAAAAGTATGCGATACTAGTCACCATCTATCATATTGATATAGGCGTGAAGTTGTTAGCTATCGACAGCTTCACACACACTCATACACACCAACATATGCATTCTCAAGAATTAGTCCAATTTTCATCGATTTCTCCTCAATCAAGTTAACTCCATTTTGACATTGGTTTACCCAAATGAGTTTTCTAAATTGTATTCCTTTCTCTTAGTTATAACTTAAAATTTGTCAGAAAGTACATCTGTGAATACACCATTTACTTTTTCGATTGAATTGACAAAAATATACAAACCTCTACCTGTATGTGTTGGTCAGTATGCACCTCGGTGTTTTTTTTAAAATTCTCTCTTCATACCATTCACTTATTCCATCATCCATCAGACTAGATGATTTCATATTTTGATACATTATGTAAGGTTTATGATTGCCTGGCTAGATGTGATATCGTTTGGTGTGTGTGCTTTTATTCGTATAGATTATTATTATTATTTCACGAAGTTTTTATTGTATTCATCTTATTCTATCAACCAATCAATCAATAGCAATGTAGAACTTCGTACGTACATCAGTTCATGTTGCCATACCACATGTCAGGATTATAAGATATCATTCAAGAAGTAGGATCTTGTGAAAAAGACTTAAAAAGATAAGAATAAAGTGATGAAGAATTAATTCCTCTTATTATTTATGCTATATTGTTAAAAAAAAATACCTACACTACTTATCTTGTTGAGATCGTTTGCTCTACTGCTAACCCTTGATCTGATTGTTAGCTTCTCAATCAATAGATACACTGGATTTCAATGCAACTTTAAATCTTGTGGGTTGTGTAAACCATGTGCGTACTTTTTCATTTAAAGTCAAATTCTCCATTGATGTGTCACAGTGAAAATAACATGTGATCGGTCGTTGAGTGTGAACAAAATAGGCACTACTACTACTTAGTCTACTGACTATGAAACATGTGATATATTTTTATGCTTGCATTGATTCCTACGCTGGATTTATGAAGAGACTGACTGTTTGGCATCATTGTACGACATATAAAGTATTGTCTATCACTTACATTTTAGTTCGTTATTTTTGGTTATGAATCGTATATTTAATTTAAATGTGTAATGTGCCATTCGATTGTCTAGTCTAACGACACTATAAACTCGGTCACCTAGACCAGCCTCATTTAATTTTTATCATATTCTCGTAGTAATGCCCAGCAAGGAGAGAAATCCATAAACCGCCATTATAACATGACTATATATATATATATATAAGTCAAACTGTAACAAACTATCCCTTGATTTGTACATCATTCTACTACTTTCATCATCGTTAAATATATATACGCAATAAAAAAAATAAATTCTATTCACTTTTCTCTTTCACAGAATATACTATGTGATCTGTCTGGATCATTTTTATCACGTCAGTGTTTTTGTAAAATTCTTGCTATTGGTGGATCAGTAAGTTGAGTTTTTGTGTGTGTTTATTTTACCAATTTTCATTGATCATAGTGTTTACTTTATTCAAATACTTAGCCTTAATGTTTGTATTATTCAGTAAATAATGCCTACTTACGCCTGTTACCCCTAATGGAACTATAGTCCGCTGGTAACAAGTTGGTGTCGCTAACTGATATGCTTGAAACGAAATGCTCTTAGTTAATCAGAATAAATGTGCCCTTGCTACACTCAGTTCATCCTGTCTCCGTCGCCAATTGATTTTTTTGAAACTATTACGAATTCATCTATTCGGTAAACGGAACGAAGATCAACGTGGCAGTGGCACGATAAACTATTCTAATCCGATTGCCCCAGGCCCCGCTAACTAGAGTAAGAAGTCTTGATTAAGCGTAGATAATGTATTTTACAGGCAAACATAAGGTCGAGGTTGCTAAGTACATAAATCGAGCTTATTTATACAATGATAGCAACGCTCTTGGGAAAGCCACGAATTAGTGTACTGACAGGTGGACTGAGTCATGTCGATAGGTGTAGACTATTTGGTTGTGGTCCGAGAGACAGTTGTAATCGATTGTTGGAGACCCCGAATGACATGGCTCAAAACCGTTTGCAATGTCGCAGGTACATCCACTATTTGTGTTCTCTCAAATCCTAAACTTTTTAACTCCTCATCACCTTTATCTTTTTCTTCCCAAGATTATTTCACTAGATTCTACTTCTTGAATAATATCGTCGAACCCTAATCTCTCCGATTACTGCTAATACTTCTACCTACCTCTACTTCTATGAGATTTCAACCGACAATTCAATCTGTGTGTATCAATATAGTATGTATGTAGGAAGTTCTACATCTTAGCTGACTAACTAAACTGACTAATATTATCACACTTGATCGCTTGGTCAATATATGTCATGTCCACTGTCGTCGATATATGTATAAAAATTGTTTCAATTATCATATCTTTCTGTTTTTCTGATTATTATTATTATTATTATTATTATTATTATTATTATAGGATAATAAATCTTATTCATGGAAACCATATTACATGTGTGTCTCTGGTGCTGAAGTGAAATTTATCAAAGCCTCTTGGGCATTTTATAAAACTGGACGAACAAACAAAGTAATTGACTGGTTTATATTTTAATTGTTTCTATTTTTTTTCTTCTGGTTAAAATTATAATTGATGTGAATCAGTTAGCAGTTATTTATATGATCAACTGTGCGAGGGGCTGATCTCACATGATCTTGTTCTTTTGAGGAGTTCTTGATGTGTGCTAACTCGTTATTCACCTTGAATGTAAGGTTAAATGTTCTCCTCTATTGTTCGAATGGAACTTTTTCTAATTCCTTCCTTGCAGTATGAGATGATAACATTACTGAAGATGAAAAATATATGTCTTATTACGGTTTTTTTTAGCTCAGTAGTAGTAGTAGCGCAGTCGTCACCGGTGTTATTTCACCTTCTCGAACTAAACATTTATAGCTTTAACCTTGTCTCTGATTTACTTGCTCAGGATAGACAAACCTAGTGAAATGAATATTGCCTATTTGAGCCATCATGATCGTAGACAAACTTGACCATACCACGTCAAGCTGGCAGACGAAACTAACCGATGGTTAAAGATCTTGAACGATATGGCTCAAAATCGTTTGCAATGGTGCAGATGCATTCATCAATTGTGCTTTCTCAAATTCTTACCTCCTGTATTCTTCATCATCTCTGTCTTTCTCTTTCTAAAGTTATGTCACTGAATTTAACTTCTCGAATCAGATCTTCGAACTCTGATCTTCTCCATTGCCAGTAATACTTCTACTATCGCTACCACTATTGGATTTGAACTGAAAGTTGCGTTTCTGTGTTGATAGGGTATGGCAAGCTGAGCTTATATACTCATGTACGAAGTTCTACGTTGTAACTGACTGACTGACAACGTGGCAGCTACGACCGAGATTTTCAGTTGGACAACAACTATCCTGGTTGAAAAATGTAATACTCTTTCTTTCATTGCATCCTTTAAGGTGAATTCTGAATGAAACACTGTTTTTTCAGGTATCTCATGCCTAGGATCGATAGTTGTTTTTAAATCCCAATTCATCAGAGTAATTGTGTAATGTCGACTATGAATTGAACAATTTCCACAAATCTTCTCTAGCTTTTATCAGTTACATCATATCTTTTCGCTCTACATCTGTCTGCTAAACTCCTAAGGAAATTCAATTACGCACACTTTCTAGACTGATTTTGTTTTTACAAAAAATTGTGCACTCATTAATTTTCTTTGCTTAAACATGAGACTGTATATAAATACCATTCATTGTATAATGTACTCTGACATTGGAGAGGTCAAATTATTCATTTGTAATTATACAGAAGAAACATTTTTCACATCTCTGATTGGTTAATCAGTTAATCAATCAATCAATCCATTTATCTACCTATCTATCTATCAGATTGGTTTTTAAATGCTAATTCTCTAGGCTACTATCACTTTCTATTCAGTTGTTTTTGTTTTATTATGCAAAACTGAAAAACCAATCAACAAACCAACAAACAAGCAATGATGCGTACTACTCTTGTCTTATCAATCGTTGTGCTTTATTATATGACAGAAATTGGCATGAATAAATATCAATTTGTTTAATTATTATTATTTTTTTATGTCAATAAGCAATGAGTCAGTAATCAATGGATTTGTTAAAACACAATCATGTTTCTTATTCAATGTGTTCAATTGATTGGATGGTTTAAGTGCTATGAATATGAATTGATCATGTAGTTATCGGGTGGCCAAAACAAAAATATGACAGAAATCCATAAAGCCGCTGACAAATGGACTGAGACATGTCAATAGATGCAGATTACTTGGTCAGGTTCTGCGAGACAATCGTGACCAGTAGTTACAGACTTTGAATGTTATGGCTCAAAATCATTTGCAATGATACAGGTGTATCCATTCTTAGTGCTCTCACAATGTCTAATCTTCTGAATTCCTTCTGACCTCTTATCTCTTTTTTATCTGATTTCATTCGATTATATTCCTCGAACCCTAATCTCCATTACTGCGCGTACTTCTATTACCTCTATTATTATGGGATTTGTATTGACAATTGTATCTCTATGCTAATATAGTAGGGCAGCTTGAATTTGTCTATGTACATTGGTACGAATTTTTATGTTGTAGCTGACTAAATTGATCTGTATCATTAGTCAACAAGATTTGATATAGAAAAGAAAATAGTGTGATGTTTTGAAATCCCCTAGTGCTACTTTAGTGAAACTAAAGAATGAATGTTGCATTTCTGTGATTGCCCACTAAAACCTAACCATTAGTTAGGAAAATTGCATAGACCGCAACCAAGTAGTCTAACACCCATTAACATGGTTCAGTTCACTTATAATTATACACGAGTTAACACCGCACATACAGATAGATAGATAGATAGGTAGATAGATCGATAACCAAACTTAACACCTATCCCAATCACTTAGAGTTTGATAAACGATCACTACCTCATCAATTGATTCAATATCTTTGTTTAGTCCGCTAAACTTAACCTCAGCAGTGTTCATTCATTGGTCCAAACAGACTCAACTCGAAACTGAGCACACGAATCTCTCGTTCATAAAAACAACTTTTTTTCCGAAATAACTTATGTATTTAACAACTTCAGTGTTGCTTAGAAATAGATTCTATGTATGTCATATAATAGGGTTGTGGCGATTGTTGAGTTTCATTTAAATCATGAATCGACCAATCTTATTAGACCAATCTTAGAAAAATTGAAACATTGGACAACCATTTCTTCCTTGTATGCCCCTCATCGGTGGCAGGGAAAAAACGGCCGTCCAAGGTTTTCAAGTGGTGGGTGATCTAACAGTGATCGATTCATGATTTCAGTGATATTTTTTACAAGTCAGTCGAGAGTTTACCAATCAGTCAGTCAATCGATCAATCAAACAAGTCAATCACTGAATAAGTAATTTTCTGACTTCTATTCAACTTGACTTATTCAAACACAGTCACGTATCATCATGATTGTTATTGTGTTTGCAATATTATGACACATTGATTGTCTAACATAAACCAAGCACATGTTTTAACGACACATACCCAGAAATACACACATAATGACAGTCACTGACCAAATGTAGTATGTATTATGGTGTCAAGTGTCACACAGCCTATTTACATAAGCAATGTTAATTACATTGAAGAAATTGGATTACTGTTGATTTGTGTGACATGTACATTCATGTTCAGATTATAAAATGATGAGTTTAAACAAAGCCGACGGTTATTCATTCTGTGCACATGTCAAATATCATCATATTTATGTATACATATATATTTGCATTACAGGGTTGTGAAGATTGTTAAGTTACACATTTTTTGAATCCATGAATCGATCAATGTTAGACCACCATTAGAAACCTGGAAGCACTGAACGGCCGTTTCGTCCTGGTATGGGACTCCTCCATCTCCTGGGTTCGAATCCTGCGGGGTGCAGGAGTCGTGGATGCGCACTGCTGAGGTGGTGGTGGTCTAACATTGATCGATTCATGGTTTCAAAAAATGTGTAACATATATGCTTGTCAGTGTTCGTTTCATTCCTAATACACACCATTAATCTTATTAGGTAATAATAGCAATAATAATAATAATTGAAAATCGTCGATACCATTGTGTTTTTATGATGTACATTTAGTATTGATCATTGAGTATTTCTTTCTATTTGTTTGTATGTATGTGTTTTTTTGTATAATACACAGATAAATCGGTAATGTATCACTTTTGTTTACATAAAATGGTTGTTTGGTTGAAAGCTAGGCGCGCCCAGACCAAAATACGGCACAAATCCATGAAGTCAGTGACAAGTGGTCTGAGTCATGTTAGTAGTAGGTTTAGACTATCAGGTTGGGGTCCGCGAGACAATAGTAACCAATGGTTAGAGGCTTTGAATGATATGGCTCAAAATTGTTTGCAATGACGCAAGTGCATCCACTCTTTGTATTCTCTCAAATTCTAAACTTCTCGAATCACCATCACTCTTATTTTTCTCTTTCTAAATTTGTCTCACTGAATTATACTTCTTGAATAATATCTTGGAACCATAATCTCCTTAACCGTTAATACTTTTGCTGTCTCTACTGTGATGGGGTTTGAGCTGACAATTCCATCTCTATGTGTTAATGTGGCCATGGCAACCTGACCTTATGTATCTACGTACGAAGTTCTACGTCGTAACTGACTGACTGACTGCCTGACGTAAAATAGCTTTCAATTTCATTCGACCATTAGAAACTTGAAAGCACTGAATGGCTGTTACGTCCTAGACTTAGAGTCATTAGTAGTGCTCATCCTCAACCTCCGCACATGGGAATCGAACCCAGCAATTTCAACCTCTTGTGTGAGCGTTTAACCTCTTAGACCACTGAGCTGACATCCGACAGTGTTAATATCTACGTTTTTTAATCATTCCAATTTTTTCTTAAACTGTGTTATTGTGTGCATCAACAGACTAATGAATTTTAAACTAGATTACTCAATCCTCCTTTTTTTTATATGTTCATGTGCATTCGCATAACGGCATTTTTTTAAGCTGTAACTACTAACAATTAAATAAATTGAAGTCATGAATTTATCACTGTTAGACAACCAGTACAAACCTATGTATACTAGACAGCCTTTTCATTCTTAATATGAGACTCTTCAGTGTCAGTGCACATCCACGATCCTGCATGCGGGAATTAAACCCAGAAACTTTGATTTTGCACGTGAACGTTTAACTTCTACACCACTACGTCGGTGGTATCCTACGGTGTTCCGCATTAGGACAAAACGGCCACCTAATGCTAGCATAAAACAACATTCCACAATTTTTATATTTTTTGCACATTGAAATCATCAGTCAATCGTTGTTAGACCGATATTAGAAACCTCGAAACACTGAACGGCCGTTTCGTCCTGGTATGGCACTGCGCATCCACGACTCCTGCTACTCGCAGGATTCAAACCCAGGACCTTCGGTCTTGTGCGCGAACGCCTAACCTCTGTACCACTGGGCCGGCATCCAATGGTGCTCATATCTAACTCTGATCAACCTACAGATTTTGCGTGACCTCATCCAGTTGTCTTGGGTAGTTACTGCCTACTTCACCTGACAGGGTTGAACTCCACTGGTGGTCACGTCTTCTCACTATAACTTGGAGAAACTTCTTCACGAAGCTAGTCACTGGTGAGCACATTTTACCATTTTTGATCAATCATAGTTTTGAAGATTAGTGTCTATTACACATTGAAATCATCAATCGATTCGTCTTTCAGAGCTTCCAGGTTTCTAATGCAATAGCAGTAGTAGTAGTAGTAGTCTAACAATGATTTATTGATTGATGAGTTCATTGTGCGAAAAAAAGACAACACACTCATCTCCATAAATCTAATTATGAAAAGAAAAAAAGAAGAAATTTTCATATTGACAAGTGAATAAGTATCAATGTGTTCAATCTTAAAATTTTATTGCCAATATTGTAAAGTTTTTTTCTGTTTTATTTTTTTTATTTAATTGACCGATTCGCTGATAAACTTAAATATCATGCTTTAGAATATTGAGTGTGCATGACACATCATTAGTTTAAATTCTATTCTCACTCTCTCTCTCTCTCTCTAACAGCATTTGGAAAATGAACTCCATATATATACATAAGTCAAGTCTGTCTCTCTGTATATGTGTACTGAAAGGTCTACTACACTGTCATATGTCTTTTTTCTCTTTTCTTATATAAACAAAAATTCAATAAGTTCTAATGTTTTTTTTTAATGTTGTGTCCGCATAATTATTCTTTATGTTAATTTAAAGATAATGTTTATTGTTTATTGATAAAGAAAATTGAGAAAAATGATGTAATTACTTATTATCTTTCGCCTGTCCCCCTCCCTTTCGATGGGGCATAGGCCTTTGACCAGTATTCTTTGATCAACCTTCTTTTTTCTGGGCTTCTTCTTCCAGTTCTGTCCAGTTTTTCTTCATTCTTGTCATATCTTTCTCTATTTTTCGGCGTAATGTGTTCCTTGGTCTGTCTCTTTTCCGTTTGCTTTGATGGTCCCAAGTGAGGACTTGTCTTGTGACACAGTTGGATGCTCTCCGCATTGTGTCTCCTATTCACTTCCATCGCTTCTTCCTGATTTCCTCGTCCACTGGAATCTGGTTTGTTTTCCCCTACAGCAGGTTGTTGTCGTTGGTTTTTGGCCAACGGCTCCTCAGTATTTTGCGTAGACAACATACTGTAGATCCCGAATTCAATTATGTGTCAAGTTTCAGATGTATGGAACAGATTTTCCCCTTCTGACCACATGATAAGCACAATCGTTTATGACGGCGGTGAAAATAGACGGATGAACACAGGGACTTACTCTTGATTGTGTTTCAGAAGTTATTTGCTCTGGCGGTTTACAATGATCAATGATAATGTCCGAAACATATGTTCCTATAGGTTCTACTAACGGTGAGACCAAATGCAGCAACTTAAGTTCTGAGGGCGAAGTCGTACTGTTGAGTGTAGAGAAGTGTGACAACAGTAAAGTTTTTTTCTCGGATAGCCAACATCTGTAACGATGCTGCCTTCTTACAAGAAAGGAAGAGGTTAATGATGGTCTACCCTAAAGATGTCACACCTCACCTGACCTTCCTAAGGCCTTTTAAACAGGAGCGGAGCCGACCGTAGCTGCTACCTCGACGTGGTGGTCGGGCTTGCTTATCGTGATGACCCAACTGAGCCCTACTGGCTGGAATATATGTTCCTGAGGGTTCTCCCATGCCAGGCAGGTAGATTGGAGAATGATGAGACTAAAAGCAGCTACCCAAGGTCTGAGGGCGAAGTCGTGCTGCTGACTGCAGAGGGGTGTGACAGCAGTAAGGTGTTTCCCTCGGACAACCAGCATCTGCAGCGATGCTGCCTTCTCACAAGGAAGGAAGGGTTAGAAAAGGTCGACCCTAAAAATGTCACACCTCACCCTACCTCACGGATTTCCGTCTCCTTGGGTAAGGGTGCCCACTAAGGGCCTTTAAGAATGGAGCTAATCCTCAAAATACCTTTCACAAAAAGGCCGTGCGTGACCGGCCTCAAGCAGTTGTCCCTTGGGCTCTGCGGTCACGCACCCAGGTCGTTAAGACCGACACAAATCTACCTTCCTTTTCAGGTCTCTCAAGAAACAACCTTCCACGGTTTGGGCAGCCCGGAAGTGACAACCTCCCTCATACTCGTAACAGCACGAGAGACCAAATTGGTCACAACCAAATCCTTCCTACACCTCCCAATATCTCTCTTATCTCTACGACTAACTCTAGTCACATTCCTTCAACTCACTGCAACGCTAATGCAAACGATGTGAGTTCACGAATCATCGTTCCTGGTTTCCTAAAACCCCGCTCTAAAATGCATGTTGGAGCATTTAATGTACGGACATTGTGTCAAATAGGGCAACAGGCATCATTAGCTAGGACTTTAGAATCTCGTGCCATCGATGTATGCTGCGTCTCGAAAACGCGCATACAGGATCCTAGTAAAATTATTCATCTGATTTCATCTTGTCAAAATAAAGAAGCAGCTTGATTTACTCTTCGTGTATCCGATAGCCCTGATGCTGCTTCCAGGGGTCTCGCTGGTGTATTTATAGTATTGAGTCGTAGGGTAGAATTATCTCTCCTAGACTGGATCCCAGTAGATAGTCGTTTGTGCGCTGTCCGACTAAACGGGACAGTAAGGACTCGTAAGGATAGGGACACCCGTCATTGCCTGTTTGTCGTATCTGCCTATGCCCCCACTGACTGCATTTCAGACGAGGTTAAAGATGAGTTTTACAGAAAGCTTTCGGACCTCCTCCAAAAAGCTAGGCGCTCTGATAGAGTAATAATGGCTGGTGACTTAATTGCTCAAGTAGGTAGACTGAGTAAGCAGGAGAGGCACCTAGGTGAATGTTATGGTGTCGCGGCTCAGAGAACATACAATGGCGACCGTCTGTTGCAAGTATGCTAAGACTACCGCCTATTCTTAGCAAACACTAACTTTAGGTATAAGGATAAACATCTGGCGACCCCCAAAGTCGTTTCAACGTTGAGCCCAACTAGATCACATCGCCATCAGCCACCAACGGAGGGGTTCGATAGAGGACTATCGCTCGTTCTGGGGCACATGTTTAGATTCCGATCATGCTCTAGTGCGAGTGCGTATTTGTTTGCGCCTTACTGGATTCCAGAAAAATATCTGAAGAAAACCTCTTAGGGCTTTACTTAATGATAATCAAGCTTAGAAAATATTTTAAGAGGAACTAGAAAAGCGGTTAGGGAACCATGTAATCGATTCCTATCCAGAGGCAGGTTGGAATGATATCAAAAAGGCTGTGGCAACAGCAGTGATTTCTGCTAGTAAGGTAAACCATAAGGCTAGGATTTTAGTCGCATCCATCGAACTGAAGGATGATCGAAAACGCATCCCACCTGACTCTGAACATGAAGAGCGAAGTCAGCTTAGTCGCAGACTGATCAAAAGCCTACGTAACGAACGCGAACAGTGGTGGGTGGCGAAAGCAAAAGCGATGAAAAAGGCAGCGGCGATAGGCAACAGTAGGCAACTATTCAGACTCATCAAGAAAATTGGTATTAGGAACCCAAATTTGAGTAAGACTATCTCGGAAAAGGATGGTCTTATTATCCATTCTCAATGCAGGAGATTGGACCGACGGGCAGAACGCTTTAGGGATCAGTTCAACTGGCCTCGAGCCACTCTTCGGTTACCCACGATCTCCAGTCATCCTGAATGGCAAATCGACGTAAGTCCACCTAGTCTTTACGAAGTTGAGAAAGCGTTAGGAAATCTGAAGCGAGGGCGAGCTGCAGGTCCTGATAGACTGATCCCTGAGATTTTTAAGGATGGTTGTCCAGTTTTAGTAGCTAGTTTTACTGAGATCTTAGGTAGAATCTGGAAACCGGACATAATCCCGTCCGAGTGGTCTGAATCACTGATTGTCCCAACTTATACTGCTTTTTGTGTGTATTTCAACTATTTATAAATGTCATTTTTTTTGTTGACGTTTGAATAATTTCTGTTGTTGCTATTGTGTTTGTTTTCTCATCTCAATAACAGTCGTCTAAAAGTAAAGATGATTTCATCTATCCAAGAAACAACAGTTTGTCTAACCTTCGTGATCATGATACTGTTGCTAATCATCGTGAAATGTGGAACACATCGAAATCTCATGATGAATTAAACGATGATTCAATTTCATATCATTATTATCATCCTACCTATTGTCAAACTGATATTGATGCCGATGATGATTCGTTGAATCCTGTGAACAATACTACTACCACTACTACTATTAATACTACAATATCTACGAATAAATCTTATCATATTCATGCATCATGTTTAATATTGCCAATTCCAGGTCTTGTATGGTGTTCTGAACAATTACCAACCAATTTCCCTAATTGGTTACCTCTTGGTCATAATTATTCAACAATGAATCATAATGGTAGTAGTAGCAGTAGTAACAATACTCAAACATTAATTTCACGTACAGTCAATCATCATCATAATAATAATAATAATCTGAACAATGGAATTTATCCCGATTGGATGGATCCACATGTGTCGGGTTTATCACAACAACAACAACAACAACAACATGTTTATTCAGATTTTCATGATTATTGTTATAAGCTGACTACATCAGATGATCGAAATCATCATTCAAATACAGGGACTAATGAAGATAGTCGATCTAAGTTCCGTTGTTTTCGTTTTGCACATATACCAGCTGGTGTAGAATTGTTGTTTGTATTTCCAGATGAGAATGCAGCAATGGCTTGTTTAAAAATGTGTCAGGTAATATATATATAATGGTTGTTTGTTTTTTAATGTTACTGTTCATTTGTATTGATTGTTGGAATGTGAAACATGGCTAGTGACAGTAGAGGACATTCATAGGTTGCTTGTCTTCAATCATAGATGTCTTCGAAGCATTGCTTGTGTATCGTGGAACGACTGACTAAGCGATGCTATAGTTAGAAAACGAGTACTAGGTAAGGATGGCAGATCAATTGATGCCGTAGTGAAACTACATCAGTTTAGGTGGAGATATGTGTTATATGTACCCGACAACTGACTGCTTAGACGAGCTATGTTTTGTGGTGTAGGAGTAGGTTGGAAGAAAGCTAGGGGTGGCCAAACCAAAACATGGCGGAAATCCATGAAGCTACTGACAAGTGGACTGAGTCATGTTGGTAGATGTAGACTACTTGATTGGGAACCGTGAGACAGTGTTAATGGATGGTTAATGACCTTGGACGACGTGGTCCAATACTTGTTTGCAATGGCGCAGATGCATTCATTCTTATTGTTCTCTCAAATTCTAATGTCTTCTGAATTCCTCACGGCATTCATCTTTTATTCCACTGGATTATACTTCTAGTATCATATCTTCGATCCCTAATCTTTTGATTTTCACAAATACTGCTACTACCTTTACTACTGTGGGATTTTAATCGACATCTCTTTGCATCTCTTTGTGTTTATGTAACATGGCAACTTGAACTGATGTATGTACGTACAAATTTCAACATTGTTGCTGACTTATTGGTCGATTTCCTTCAGATAATGAATTCATCTATTGACCAATCATTTACATTCGTCCTTTCGGACATTTCTGATGATTACAAAATGGCTTTTTCACCTGGCAACTTTTGATTATCTTGTTACATCAAGGATACTTATCATGTATATCTACCGATAATTTTTTGGATATCAGTAATCACAAATGACTGACTCAGTCAGTCAGTTACAAGGTCGAACTTCATACGTAAGTACATAAGTTCAGGCTGCCATACTGTATAAGCACAGAGACACAACTGTCACTTCAAATCCTATAGTGATCTGGATAGTAGAAGAATAAATGGTAAAGGAGAATAGGGATCGAAGATATTATTCAAGAAGTTCAGTTCAGTGAGATAAGTTTAGAAAGCGAAAGATAGAGATGATAAGGAATTCTGAAGACTAGAATTCGAGAGAACACAAAGATTAAATGCACCTGCGCCATTGCCAACGATTTTGAACCATATCTTTCAAGATCTCTAACCATGTTTTATTATCATCTCTCGGACCCCAACCAGTTAGTTGACACCTACCAACATGACTCAGTCCCTTTGTCCGTGACTTTATGGATTTGTGCCATGTTTTTGTTTGCCGCCCCTACCTATCTTCCAGTTTACCTCCACATTTCAAAATAGCGCTCCATCGAGGCAGCATATGAAGTGTCATTACTTCATCAATTGATCTACCATCCTTACCTAGCACCCGTTTCCTAAAGACAGCATTGCTTACCCGGTTGTCCCAGGTTATGTACGAGCAATGCTTCGAAGACATCTATAATCGAATACTAATAACCTACGAATTTTTTTTCAAACTATAAACGAATAACTAATTCTTTGATACATTATGTGAAGGCTTTCATCATACTGATTAATTTATTGATTATTTACAGTTATCGTTTATCTGAGTATATATCAAAGCGTCCGAAAAAAACACGTCAAAATGAGTTTTGTATTTTATTTAATTTATTTAACTGTTTAATTACACTACAACAAGTGAAATAATCTACGTGTCTATGTGTACTTGTGTGTGTACGTGTGTGTATTATCTTTTCTTTTCTCAATCACTCACTCACTCTCATTCTCTGTGTATTCAGCTTTTCGGTGGACGTGATTATGATGCTAATGAACATCACGTTGGACGATGTAATCATTCAAATGCATGTAAGTTGATCGTTGTGTGTTGACGTTTTCTCTTTTCGTTTCTTTTTCTTCGCTGTTTGATTTTACCGGGAATTAATTGATACTGCTCGATTCACTGTCAAAGACAATAACACAGAGCAGTCTGGGCTCAGCGACTGATCTCACTTAAAACCGAGATATTGTTACGCATGTACGTAAACATGTCATTTTGATATGCTTGAATTATTACGAGTTTACCTTAGTCGGAAAACAA